GCTGTAAACTGCGACATGCAATGCGACACAGAGCTGAGACAGATGCACAAGAACACACACACACAAAGGATACTGCATTTGCCCGCCCCTTACCCTAACTATCAAAAATAAATGCAACCTGATTGTATCTCGAACCCTAAAAAACGTCTAAACCCTCAAACATCCAAACTGTCCTAACTTTTCCAAAAATGTCTTCTCTCTGGAGGGTCTGTGCTTAAAATGGTACAGTGCACCACACACGTACACACACAGTGACAGAATCAACATGCCTTTATTTTCCTGTGTGGAACAGCACACAGCTTCAGACACAGTCGGCGCCCACTTCTCCTCCTATTCGTCACCGCCTTCATCTCTGCGCCTTGTGTAAAGACAATTCAATTCAGTGGGAAAACACCACCACTCTCTCTGAGCTGCTGTGTCAGGATTAAATGGGTTTAATTGCTGTCGGCTTCAGCTCTAGTGCGCAATGCACAATTAGGCCGCGGAAAGGGGACCGCGGAGGTGTGACTGAATCAAGAAGACAAAACAGGGCGGGAGATGCCTGTGTGTTTGTGTTGTTTGTCTCTACCTGTGAGCACAGAGGCCGTCATGCTGGATTTGTGTGTATTTGAGTGTGAGTCTGTGAGTGTGAGCTGACGTACGTGGGAACCTCACATGTGTTGACTGCAGTGACTTGGGCATTTAATATGGGCTGATGGCCAATGTGTGTGTGTGTGTGTGTGTGTGTGTGTGTGTGTGTGTGTGTGTGTGTGCAGCAGCAGTCTATTGATTTTCTTACTCCTTTGTGTATTTAGTGAATTCTACTTCCTACTTTGTTTTTTACTTTTGCATGTAACAAGCATAGGAATCAGGAGGTAATTTGAACTAATGGCTGTCTATTTATACATTTTTTTAAACTTTACATAGCTTTTATACCTTAGGAAATACAGATGTTTCGATGTAGGCTAATGAATTTGTCGACTTTGTGGCTTTTCCTCTTGTGCATCCATGATGTATCTTTCTTCATACAAGTTATGGAAATAAGTTGACCACATTTTTGGTGGGTTGTGATGAGATTTAGTAAAAACATTCTGAAGAGAATGAATCATTACAACTTTCATCCTCTGACTTTTCTCTTGTGCCATCAAATTAAAATTTCTGCCTGTCATTGGTTTTGGCAACAGAGTTTACATAGTTTTTTTCTGTCTCACAAGCACAACACAGAGGTCTCCACAGACACGTTCACAACAGCAACAAATCCTCTGCAATGTTCAGGCGGGAGGTGGAGCAGCCGGGTGCAGCAGACAGAGACAGGAAGTGACGTATTACCTCGGCTGCAGAGATAACGTGATTTTCACTTATCACCACAAACTCTCTTGACACATCTGTCGGCATCCTCTACGTGTTTGACACATCTTTTACAGCAGGAGATATTTGTTTTCTTTTTGGTTTTTTTTCATTTTTGCCCATGTCTCACTTTAGAAGTGTCATCAAACACGCTTGCAGTGATTCCAGCAGGGGATCCCCCTGCTGCGTTCACACATCAACTTCTGGATTTCAACGGACATTATACCAGGAGGCCAGACGGAGAAAGTCTGCAGAGACACCTCCTCTGCAGAAGATACGGAGGAACTGCGGAATTCACTGGATGTCTGAAAGCACCTTATGTCTGTGTGGACAAGAGTGAATCATATTTGTGTCTGTGGAGGTACCTGCTCTTATTGTCTACTGTGGCTTCTATGATGCCAAATACAAAACAAACAGACAGGATGAGTCACAGATAACGTTCTCTGTTATTGAGAAGACCCTTCTTTAAATCAGTATCTCCCACTTGATTTAATACATTAAAAAACGATCTGGAGTCAAACTTGTCAACAAAGATACAACACACAAATACTGCTTGCCTGAAGTAACTATATGTAATGTGTTTTCAATTACTTTATTTCATATCCATCAATGTGGGGGTGGCGTGGGAAGCTAGAGTCAGTCCCAACATATCAAAGGGTTAATATAGAGAAACAAACAACCATTAACACCTATGAACAATTTAGAGTCTTCAATTAACCTAAACCCAATATTTGGACTGTGGGAGGCTGGAGCCAGAGTACCTGATGATAACCCACATAGACATGGGAAGAAAATGCAAACCAGCATCAAACCTGGGATGATTACACCTGTTATCATCACGTTTCCATCCATTACATGACTCATGAATACATACATGAGTCATAACAGCATGTGAAGTGCAAAAGAGGAGCAGCCCTGATCTCATCCTGGCTCACACCCTCCACAATGTTTGGATACTGCTATTTCTTTTTTTTCTCTATCTTACACCCCCCCACACACACAGCAGTACAGTGTGTGGTGTCAGTCTGCTAGTGCTGATAGGCAGCATGTGGTTTCTCCTCAACACTAATCTGTCGGACAAGCAGCGAGCAGCACTCATGGACAAACCAATAATATGTCTCTGGTAGGAAGTCCGATCGCAGCGCAAAACTCTAGGACTTCCTGTTCCTCTGGGCTATCAGGATGTACAGACTCAGAGGAGCGACACACACTCATACACACTCCCTCGAACCAACAATGACTCAACAGCTTTGTAACCAACCACAAAGACACACACTGTGCAGCAGCTTCCCATCAGCAACAAATAAACTTTGTGCAAATGAGCGAAGACGCTGAACGAGCACCTGCTGTGATCCACTCTGGCAAAAGCACATCTCTGGACCACACCCAGTACGTCACGACTTATCATCCCCCGCTCCGCTGACCCCCCACGCCAACAGAGAAGATGGTAAGGCAATGGGAGTGAGAGCAAGGAGGGGAGGGGGGGAGATCACGAGGAGGAGGAGGATGAGCAGACAGAGACGCTGAGACACAAAGAGAGCAACAAGCAGATGAGTGCGTTGTGGGTGGGACTCACCAGCTCAACCGACCCATAGTGTTTCCTGCTGAAGTCTCCACGCCTGCAGCCCAGGTCCTCCGAGGCAGAGCTGCAAAACAAACACACGGTCACACACATGGCCTCCATCACACCACTTAAACATTCGTTAACTGTGACATCACTCATACATGAGGGGCAGTCGCAGCATCTGCTTGTCTCACGTCCCTTGATCTCACTTTGTCTCCTCGTTCATGACCACTTTCTTCATACTACGTTCTTTCTCTCTGCCCTTCCCTTCTCTTTTTCTTTCTGTCTTTCTTCCCCCTCCTCCCGTCTGTGTCTCTGTTGGCGTGGCGGGGCCAGCAGTGGCACGATGACTGGCTGGGAGTGGCGGCCAACCCAGTTCTGATTGAGATGTGGGTCCTGATTGAATTAGGGCCGAGTGATAGATGGAGACTGGCTGGGAGAGCTGACTGCTGGTCGAGTAGTAAAACGCACACACAGAGTGAGTACCATCACTAACACATGTAAAAGAAAGTAGCACACATGCAAAAGGCAGAAGTTTAAAAACGTAATACAATATTTTTTACGGTCGGCTATTTACTCAATATGAATATCACTGTCTACAAGCCACTTGCAGCGTAGATCTATTAAGAACACAATCTTACATCAAGTTTACTTCTCTATGGTGTCAGACTGAATAAAAGGCCATTTGCACTAAAAAATCTCTGCAACAATACACTTTATTAGCGTTGTTATTTATCTGAGCTGCTTGTCAAAAAGCACACAATAAAGACACAGATCCCTTTCAGTCAAATCGATTTCTAATAACTAGAATGGCACTGATCCGCCAAGGCCCCACAGTCTCCTTAAATTCAATTAAACTGCAACTAATCAGGGAAATCTTTGAAAGTGTCAAAAACACCCATATCTCACAATGATAAATCAAATCATTTAAAAATTCCTGGATCTGTCCCCCTGATCTGAATCTGCACCTGACACATCCTCCCTTTGGCAGTTTTTGCATAATCCTGGTTAGAAATAAACCAAACCAACCAACCAACAAGGAGGATGTGGGGAAAACACAACCTTGGCAGCAATAATAAAAAGTTACGTTTGAAAGTTTTGGAAAAACAGCATCTGATCATCTTGTTGTCATGGGACAAGATCTGCACCTTCTGTCTATGCATTAAATGGACACACACACACACTGTATAAACATATATATGGAGCTGCCAGAGGGACGAAGAACTTTGAGGGTGCTCCCTGTGTGCTCCGCAGCCTCTCACTCCTCTTGTGATTTTCTCCGGATGCACGTTGTTTAATGTCACAGATTCCTCTGTGACAAATAGAAAAAACACACTGACAGATGGTGCAGCTGGCCTGGTCGCCCACAGATCCCAACCACTGAAACTCAAATTCCCTTTCTCTTCTGTATTTCTGTGATCTTCTAATTTTTTTTAGCCGGTGGACTACGCTCGACATTTTTAAATATCCCACCACTGTGAGCCATAGCGTAGCAACACTATCACTCATGCTTCTCATTGGTCATAACGTGTGCCCTGACTCACCGAACAGGTCCCGACCAATGAGCATTCTGTGTTTGGGGAAGTGAAACATGACATGAGACAGGCCGAGGGATAACAGAGCAGGAGGGTTTCCCTCATCGATGTCATTCAAAACGGACGGTTGTCAACACTAGCTGCAGTCAAGCGTTAATTAGCTTAGCTTAGAATAAGGACCAGAACAGGTTGGAAACCGCTGATGAATTTACTGGTAAAGCTGTGTCTCATTTCAGGGGCTGCATCCTTCTGAGTCTGCATTTGAAGACCAAGTGCATCTCAGCTGCGCAACTCCGTCCAACGGGTGGATCCTTCCCGGGCCAACTTATCAGAGGATTCATTGTGTTTCGGTGACAAACCCTTTCTCAGAGAGGTGGCGCATCAACTCAGCAGAACAGCTAGTAGTACACATGTTGGAAAACCAGGGGCATTAAAACTTACGAGTCCAACAGCAGCTTTGTTGCCCTGCAACAGTAATAAGGGTGGGACAAGCTGGTAGTGCCGATCACAGAACACCAGACCAGACTATTATTAATATTTTGGTTCCGACTTCATGCCCACAAAGGCCGCCTCCTTCGTGGGCCGAGTAGACCGCATCTCTGAAGAATGAAGCCCATGAATTGAGACACAGCTCAAGAGTCTACCTGCACCACCAAAGCTCAAATGCTGCACAGTTTCTAGAAAGCACAGAAACAGAAATATAAATGTTTATGATTCGAGGATGTTACAAGCTCAAAGCCCTGTTTGAAAAACCATTTTTATCTTTAGACAGAGCCTGTCTGTTTCCACTAGAGACTACCCTCTGTAGCTTCATATTTATACCCCAGACATGAGTGTCATCAACCTTCTCATCCAACTCTTGGCAAAGAGAAAATATGCACATCAGAAGTATTCCTTTAAATACCCCAGCTAAACAAGCAAGTGAAATATAAACTTGATCTCAGCTGAAGAGAAACTGCACTTTCATTCTGGTCCATGATACGTGACAGTGAGTGATCAAGCTACACTCACGTGAATTCAAACTTCAGTTGCACAGCAGTTTGCAGCACAATGACCCCACAAGATCTTTTCTGGAGACTCAAGGCTCAGTGTTGTGACAGTGAACTGGTCGACGTTAACAATGTACCACTGAACCACCCATATATCACTTCTTATCTTCAGCCATGCTGATCACATTACTATTGATCCAGCCTGATCTAAGTAGAAAGCACTGTAAAGAGTCTAAAATCTTAGAGGAAGAAGAAACAGAAAGAACAAGCTGGGATATTATTTTAGAAATAATCCACACACAGCAACACAGCCCTTTTGTAGCATTTGAATCTACTCTAATCTACTAAATTATTGCCAAGAGGTGCGGTGCACCAAAGTAAATTCTCGCCCCATACAAGGAGAAGAAGGATCCGACTGACAATAATGAGCATGAAACAAATCTACAGGTGTTGATAAGCTACATGGTGACACTTCACACATGTTGTCAAAATGCAAAGGTTATTTCTCCACAAGCGCTGGAGCTCACTTGGGAAAATTAGGAGCAGAAATGTCAAAATGCACCTAAATCTTAACGCGTCGCAGGCGAGGTTCAGTCATCACTTCTCACCGCACAGCACGACCCCGTCACTGCTACACCTGCATCTCCCACGCATGTGAATAAAGACATGAGGCAGATTATGTGTCATTACTACATCAGGCTTATGCCGTGCAAAACCTAGATACCGCCACATGTGAATGTGAATGTTTCTAACAGCACAACACAATTTGATTACGATGAATTTAATTCAGAAGCATTCTGGAACAGTCCGTCTTTTTAACCAACATCCAAATAGAAGAATTTAAAAAAACAACACAGAGTCATGGGGGGTATTTGATATTTATATTTTTTATATATATTTTGTGTTTTTGTTTGTATCTAATGTCTGTATGGTTGTCTGAGTGATGTATATGAACTGAATGCTTCCTCCTTCTCTCTGGACCACATCCCCCCACTCCCCGCCTATCTCCCCCCAGCTCTTCCCCTCTCCAGTCAGGTTTCTCTCTCTCCGCCTCTCTGCGGGAGGAGGAGATGGAGGCAGAGTGGGACTGTTTATACATAATGTGCACTCAATCTTAAAGGTCATATCTTAAAGTGTGTCTGTACTGCAGGATGTATCCATCACTGCTCCCTTACTCACTGCTCGCTGGCTCTGGTGATCGGGGTGGGGTCTGCTGAAGCCCCATCCTAACCTGGACTCCATCACAGCATTCTACCTTAATACGATCCCACTTTGTCTTCTCAGCATTCAGGTGGCTATCTCTCCTACCCTTCACCTTTGCTTTGAGAGAGGTGGTGATGAGAGGGGTTGTACGTCGGAGGGGGATAATTAAGTGGCGCCACCCAGCGAACCTTCCTAAAGAAAACAACTTCATCATCATCTCCAGGGGAAGCTCGTCTGGAAAGGTGTCATGAGTTTGATGTTTAAATGTGCATACGAACAATGTGACCAGGTATTTTGCACATGGAAGAGCAACATTCAAGCTTTGCTAACACCCATTAAAGAAGTGAAAGAGCCAAGGGAGTACAGTGCCTCCAGTCTGATGAGGAACATGTACCTGTCATCAGAGCTCTGACTTCAACTCCAGCATGTACGCAGACTCATAAAATCATAATCAATGTCACACTGTAGCCAAAACAAGAACTAAAACTTGTACCGGTCAGGTTTTTACTGAGTTTGTTCCAAGGTTGTTGTTTTTTTGCTCAGAGAGCAGTGATATTATAAGATTTTATAGCCATTTTTTCTTTTTTAAGACATGTTGGTTGATTCATCCCTCAAGTCAAGACTTTTACAGTATGTAACTTCATCCAGCCGTCTCCCAATTAAAACAGCAAATGTAACTAAAGACCTAGTTTGACCTAAACCTTCACATCATGAAGCAGCGTGGGATCATGGAAGTTGTTGTCTTCACCACTACTGCCAATGAAAATACACCTGTGGCACAAATCTTGTTCATTGATGAGGACGGTCCATCCATCCATTATCTATAAAGTTAATCCTGTGAGGGTCGTGGGGGGAGCTGGGGTCAATCCCAGACATTGAGCGTGAGGTGGGGTACAATATGGCCAGGTCACCAGCATATCACAGGGTCAACATGCAGAGAGAAACAACCACTCACATTCGCACTGTCCAGTTAGTTTAACCTCAATCTGCAGCTTTTTGGACTGTGGGAGGAAACTAGAACATGCAAACTCCACACAGAAGGATTCCGGCCAAACTAGGAACCGACATGGGAACCTTGCTGTGACTGTGAGGCAACAGTACTTAACACTGCACCAATATGCCACCCTCATGGAAGAGGCAATGTATTACATTTTTATTCACGTTATACAACAAATGGCAATAAATAAATAGTTGCAGCAGAGACGGGAAAAGTCTCAGGTCAAGCTGATATGAAGCAATTAAAAGATGACTAAAATGAGACGTCCCGTTATCTCGAATATAACAGGATTTCTTTTGGTTTGAACATTGTTGTTCAAACTGAAATTGTTGTTGTTGAACATTTGGGAGAATGTTAA